ATTTAATATTTTCATCTAAATCAAAATCCAGTGACTATCACGTTAATATGAACACAGAAATGTTTGTAAAATGGTTGCATGAAAAACTTCTCCCAGGATTAAGTGAGCCCAGCGTAATTATTTTAGACAATGCACCTTACCATTCTCAAGTATTAAACAAAAGTCCAACGAATTCTTGGACTGTTGATAAAATTAAAGAATGGTTGACAAAGGAACATATACCATTTCCTCAATATATATTAAAATCAGAATTATTAGCCTTTGTTGTGGATCAGATTATTGAAAGTTACGGTCATCAAGTTTTACGTCTGCCACCGTATCATTGCCAGTTTAATCCCATCGAATATATATATGGGGAATAGCAAAACAATATTATGACAACCATATTGGGCCTAATGGTTATAGTGACGACGCAGTTAGGGAAACTTGGCGAAAAGCACTTTCAATTGCAACTCCAGAAGTGTGGCGGAACTGTATATCGCAAGTGCGAGAAACTAATAGAAGATTGGTGGACTCGTGAAAATAAAATAAACGAAATAAGTCCAATCATAATAACAATTAATGGTGATGACAGTGATGATGATGACGATTACGATATTTTGGATGATAATGACTGATTTTCATTTTTGTTGGCAAGTTCATTTTTTTTATTTTTCATTTGAAATTCTCTACATGGAACAAATTTTTATGTTAAAAAATATTTTATTTGAGCTAAATAACCCTCTTATTAGATCATATTTTCTGTGTGAAGTGTAATATAAAATTATTATTAGGTTTATAGTAGCTACATTAGTCTCCATTAATGAAGAAGTTTAATTCTGCTCTCAATTATACAAAAGATTCTCCATTATTATTTAATTAAAAAGTTGTACATTATTTTTCATTTCCTTTAAACAGTTGATATTTCCCCAAAGAACAGGTCAAACTTTCGGGTACTTACCTGGAAATACTCATAAAATTTTTAATCCGAAACCCGCGTAAGTATAGCGAACAGACTGTAAGCACAAATGCCAGAACATGTCAGATTGTTTGAAATTTTAAAACAGATATTTTTAATGTACATAAAATATTTACTAGAAAATTGAAGACTAATTAAAACTATTAGTTTAAAGAAATACAATATTTGTATAAAAGCCGTCGTACATTGCAGCCTCTTTACTGCAAATTGTTTTACCCTTGCTATAACCATGCAAGAAAATCGAACCGGACAAAAGTAATCCATCATAATTGGCAGTATACTTTGAAACAAAATTTGATGACCCACCCTCAAAAACTACCCCCTGGAACAACCCCCTCAAAAATTATTATTTTTTTTCTGCTCTTTTTTTGTAGTCGCTACTTTTTTCTGTACAACTGTTTTTAAAATTTTGAAATCGCTCTATAAATAAGTGAGATTCGGTTTTTTTTTTTTTTCATTTTCATCAGGTTGCTTTCTGTCAAATTCATGGTAATTTTTTTAGCACATTATAAACAATACTATATTAATCTGTCTCTTGTCAAACAGAATAAATCGATAAAATTAGCAGTTTTTACTTGATAAATAATTTAGAGTTTGTCAAGTCCTAACAAATTATTTCAAAATTCAAGACAAGCTAGACAATTATACTATGAACGTTTTCCGAATAGAACAATTCCCTCTGTTAAAACGTTTTTCAATTTAGAAAGAAGTCTTAGACAAGAACATTTTCCTGACGGTAAACATCATGGAGGACATAACAGAATGATCAGAAATGAAGAAAATATTATACACGTTTTGGCTTACGTTCATGTAAATCCACATGTTTATCAGAGATTTGGCACTCGTAATTGGAATAAGCAAAAGTAGCATCCAAAGAATATTAAAAGACAATAAATATCATCCTTATAAAATACACTTGGTCCAAGGTTTACATACACCCTAATGATCTTGAAAGACTCTTAGACTTTCTCGCTAGAATGCAGGTGACCATGCCACATTCTTAGATAAAATATTATGGAGTAACGAATCACGTTTCCAAAATAATGGTGTATTAAATCGTCATAATTCCAATTACTGGTCCCCAACAAATCCCCCCTAGGTAAGAGAAACAAGGTTTCAAAATATTTGGGGCATACACGTATGGTGTGGTTTGTTCAATGGTAGGATTATAGGTCCTCATTTTTATGAAAACACTAACGGAAATAGAATATCGTGATTTTTTAATCGATACCGTCCTTGATTTGTTGGAAGGTATTCCTTTTAATCAAAGACATGATATGTGGTGCACCAGCTCATAATGCACAAATTGTGAGCCAATATTTGGCAAACAATTATGGAAACCATGTTATATCCACGCATTCTCCAGTTATCCAGGGGTCGGCTAGGTCACCTGATTTGTCGCCTCTAGATTTTTTTTCTGGGGTACTATAAAGGACGTAGTATACGAAACAAAACCAGAGGACTTAGAAGATTTAAAAAATAGAATCAGACATGCTTGTAACAGATTTACACCGGCCATGAGTCGAGCTGCCTGTACTAGAAATTTATTGTTAAAGTTTGACAAATGTGTGGAAGTGGGAGGTGGGCAATTTGAGCACTTATTATAAGTTATTACTACTCTTTGTTTTCAACGTATTTTTTTAATTATATGTCACCTAATAAAGTATTTTTTATCATCAACATACAGTTTTATTTAATTTCTCACTTATTTATGGAGCGATTTTTAAAACAGTTTTACAGAGAAAAGTAGCGACTACAAAAATAAGCAGAAAAAAATTAGGGTGTCCTTAATAATTTTTGAGGGGGTTTTTCCAGGGGGGTAGTTTTTGAGGGTGGGTCGTCAAATTTTTATTTGTTTCAAAGTACACCGCCAATTATAATGGATGACTTTTGTCCGGTTCGATTATCTTGCATGGTTTAGAAGTTATAGCCTGGGTATAACAATTTGGGACACCATGTATATAGATATGGAATGATCCATAAAAATGTTTCTAAAGTAGGCCTTTAAAAAATTCACACATTTCAGGGCGTACAAGTCTTCTTCTGTAAGTTTGGATTTAATTCAGACCCGCGCGTAGATATCCAGGACATGACTCGCATCTCTGCCTTTTTCGATCATGGCCTACTTTAGAAACAATTTTTGTGGATTTTTTATATCGAGTGATCTACAAAAAATTATATTGCTTGCAATTTAGAATTGCGTAAAAAATGGCACGTCCGTCGTACTATTGCTCCGTTTGAAATGGCGTTTGAATATCCACATCGGATGCATCTAAGATGTTGTGAATTTTTTATCACGTGATGGAGGATTAAATTTAAATGTAAATGTTATAAACAAACGCTCTAGACTTTATTGGCCACGTGATAAAATGACAATGACAAGTAAGAAGTTTATACTTTTTAAATTTGGCTTTTGAGACTAGAAATCAACTTAAATTTGAAAACTAAACAAAAATTAATCAAACTAATCACTTTTATATTCACGCTAGTATAAAAAAGGATGAAGCTATAAACTTGCAACTGAACCAACTGAACTAAACACAGAATCATAGAACACATACTTTCTGGCATGGAACAAATCTTACAAAAAATAAATATTAAGTTTAACAACCCCCACTACAACATCTCATTTCATAATAAATAATTTATATAATACTTAGGTACCTACTAATATAACTCACAATTCTAATTTATTTATTACAATTTATCTTTTCTGTCCAACACTTAAATTCAATCTGCCCGTCCGTCGACATCTCGAACTAATTATATAAAGCCAACTCTGCACTAGAAGTTTCTAGACGATCTCGAATGTCCGAAAATTCCATCGCTAGACTTCATACCGCGGGCAAAGAGTAAACAAAGCACAGGGTTAGCTTTTGCGCGACAATAGGTTACTGTTGTAATCGGGCCACGCCATCCTGTGAAAAGGAGGATAATTCCTATATGACAAATAAAATGTCCTAAAAAAATGTAAAAACTTATAAAAAAAGTCAATATTGAATAAAAAAAACATTGTGCGTGTGCAGCGTCCAGGAACATTGAATGAAACTAATGAAATAAGTTTACCGTTGAAAACTTTTTACAGGAACATAACAGCAGATAAAGTTCTTTGATTTATGAATCTTCTCTGCTAATTTCAAGGAACTTGTGTATTCAGAAAACCAAAGAGTCGATGCGAAATCTAGAGTAAAGTAGAACAACTTTATGGTATTAATGTTGGTAACATTTGCTGCTTGTTTACGTATCCCAATATCTTATTGACAGCAGAAGTTATGTTTTTAAAGTGTGTAGTAAACGGAAAGATGTTGTTTAATTTCTATGCATCTTACCAATCTCCTCTCATCTCATATTATAATATTTTTTTACTTTTGTTAAAATCCAGTTTGTTAATCACACTCCATTCATAAACACTATGCATTTCTTTATGTCTATCACAAAATCAGTTTATTCTCCTGATGTCAGCTTCAAGTAGAAAACTCTCAGCGTGCTTGAGAACGGAAGGAAGATCGTTGATAAAAATATAATAAATAGGAGAGGTTCCAGATTAGATCCTTTCGGTATTCCATAATTTGCATGGTATTTACCGGAAACGTTACCATTATGCTTCACTACAAACTTTCTATTTTCTAAATACCTTTTATTAATTCTATAAAGTGTTCCGACAACCCAAATTTTGGGTACATCATGATACACGATCAAAATGCTTTTCGAAAATCTGTAAACATTATGTTCATTTGAGATTTAACTGCCAAAGTTTCAAATGCTTAACTTCTAAAAATAAACAAATTGGTAGGTATTTACAGATTTATTAGACATAAAACCGTGTTTTTTGTGATACTATACTTTTCTACGTATTGATATAATTTAATGTATATGTCTTTTATGCTATAACTTTATATTATACTCACAACCACCCTGTATTTTTTAACAATAACATTGTGGAATATCCAGAAGAAAAAGATATGCTTTGACTAGGAAGATGATCACCAACTAATATGTACATAGTAAGCATAAATAACTAAATAATATAATTTGTTTTCAGGTGGCCATAAAAATAATCGATAAGACTGTCCTAGACGAAGAAAATTTGACAAAGATATTTCGAGAGACTGCTATATTGAAGAAACTGAAACACCCCCATATCACAAGGCTATACCAGCTTATGGAAACGAATCAAACCATATATATGGTCACTGAATATGCCAGCAAAGGGGAGATATTCGGTAAGTTATTATGTTTTTTAAATATTTTTTTACTCAGTCATTACAAATTTTCCACCGTTATTACACTAATATAACAATACTCTATGAGAACGATTCAATATTTTTATCTACTTTATGTAGCTATGAAAATTTGGCCAATTTGGCTCAAATTTGATTATATTTCCGGAAATGTTTCTGGTTGTCATGGAAACATTTTAAAATAACAGCATTTAATCGGCTATAAAATAGAGGTGTAAAATTTTTACTTATATCACAAGAGCTTAAATTATTTCCGGAAATTTTCTTGAGGGCACGAATATTTTAAAATATTTCCTAAAATATTCGTGTCCGAAAGAAAATTACCAGGATTAATTTAAGCTTGCGTGGTATTCGGTAAGAAAATTTCACACCATTTCACATCATAATTTGGAAAAAAAAAATATTAATCCAACCTGACATTTTAAATTAATTTTACTGCTTGTCCAAGTTGGCCAGGGTATTGTTGTTTTTGACATATTATGTTGATTTGTCATTTTTGTTTAACCGGTTCTGTCACAAAGCTTAATAATTACTAGTTTAAAACGTCTGTACGTTGAGTTTAATAAGTGTATAGCGAAATGTCGCGATTTGGTAAAGAAAGTCAACAAGTAATTAGACAAGAAATTCAAAATATAACACCAGTTAACACCCGAAAATCAAAATCAAGTGTATGGAAACGGTTTGTTGAATTTTGTGACGAAAAGTTGTATAAAATTCATGAGTGTAGTTCAGCTGGCTGCTATACTGGAGGACTACGCATTTAATATGAAAAAAAAATAATTTTTTTTTGAAGATTATAAGGAAAGTGTGGTCTAAGTGATGTGGAACTCTACTGCTAAGCAGTTACAAGAAATTTATTACGAAAAATATAAAATAAAATTTATTCAGTTTTCTGGAATTTGCGACCGCCAGAGCTGCACGCGATGCTAAGCGCAAAACATTACAGAGATACATTAAAAAGAAAAGTGAGTGCTTTAGCCTTAACCAGTGACGAATACAAACAAATTATTGAAATGTGGGATGAAAATACTCCAATGGATCGCAGCGTAAATTTTTTCACATAGTCTCACATGAGTTGGCATGGAGAGGAGGGGAAGGATATTCTGCGTGTATCCAATACTTTAAAGAAGAAACTGATCATTTCGGAAACCCAAAAGGTCGGATAGAATATAATCCAATATTCTCCAAAACCACACAAGGTGGTTCTAAAAAACTGTCGGATAGTAAATGGTTGATTACAAATTTCGACAATCCACAAATGTGTCCGGTTCGTTTGTTTAAGAAGTTGATGGAAAAAAGGGGAAATCTTATTGAGACCGACAGATTATTCTTAGCACCAAACCCATACTGGAGTCAACCCAATTCGAAAGGATGGTACAAGAATAGCCCAGCTGTAACCGTTAACCCAGAGACTCAGCCAGATGGTCCTGTTGCCCACCGTCACCACGTGGAGGTGCCCTGGTCGCAGGCACAAGCGATCATGCGATCAAGCGATAAAAAAAAATCAACTGCGGAGGTCATTTGAGAATAAAAAGTTTGATACCAACAAAAAACAGTTCAAAATCTGAGACAATCTTTCGCCTCATTCAGTTCATACATCAGTTTTTAGAGATATTGCAATTTTTTGCTACTTTTAACATTTTTCAAGGTTTTTGTACAATTTCTATGATTTAGAACGGTTTATAGTCTAAATAAACTTCAGATTTGTATTCAGCGGATCGAAATACATAAGAATTATGCTTGGTTTCGATTCATACATTTTTTTTATTACTAATTATCTTATTTTTACTATTTTTACAATTTACTCGATATTGAAGGGTGAACGGCCCAAACTGACTTGAAATTCGGATTCAGCGGGTCAAAATACATGCCGGTAGGTAGGTCGTGTCTGATGTACAAACAACTTTTTTTTCTGTGTGCCGGTGAATATATAAAACAGTCATAACGAATATTTCAGCAATTTTAAAACAAAAATGCAATGAAAAGCTATAGCGTCCTCGTATACCCCCAACACTTTTGTCACGCGCTGACGTCATGCGGGGCTTGATTTAAAATTCGTACCCCAAGTGAGGTTATCTGTTCGTCTTAGTACTATGAGGAAACATTATACCCGAAATCGGCCGTGCGCTTGCACTCGATCACAAAGTCCCTGTTCCATTGTCTAATATCCGACATATTGTACACAAATACAAGCAGCACAATTAGAGAAATGCCTCCAACGCAACTGTAAAAATTGGCGACCAGTCAAACTGTTAAAGCCACACACTTCGTCTTTACCCGAACGATTTTAAAATAAATTAAAGATCTTGGCGTTATTTTTGACCCATTCCTTAGCTTTAACCACTTCAGCTTTTCAGATAGAGGTAAATCTATGAAAATGTTAGGATTTATTAAAAGGAAGGTCTTCGACTTCACTAATGTAACTGTCAGCCACAATAGATCCATCAGGGTCGCAGTGGAAGGCGATGAGATCATCCCACATATTTTCAACCAAACTGTCTGCTGTTAAAACCCTTTATTGTACTTTAGTTAGGACTTAGACTTAGGAGTAACCTTGATTATTGTTCTTCTGTATGGTCCCCACATGTAACCTACAAGTTAAAGATCGGTCCTGTTCAGAACAAGTTTTTTAGGTACATAGCCTTTAAATTACAAACTTATTATGATTATACAACAATGGAGCCGTTTTAAAAAGAAACCTTGTTTAGAAACTAGAGGAAAACATCGAGACCTGATGTTACTTTTTAATATTGTTAATGGAAGATATATGTCGTGAAATCCTATCGAAAATTATTATTTTTATTTCTATTCGTAATACCTGGCAGTCACAATATTTCTTTAATCGACTTGACATTACTTTTAACAATGTATTCCTCGAATACTTAGACTGGCAAACTCTGGATAATCTTATAACGTTTGATTCATCTGTACTTAAATATATTTCAGCACAATGTTTAAAATTACTAATGAAATTTATAACAATAAATACATAAATAAACGAATAGGTAAACAATTTCATGCGTTCTTTACTGTTTTACTAAATTACATACAAACCGTTTTAGAATTCTATGAATTTTAGCACTTGGACACTTATCTACTTTATAATCAGTGATAAGTTGCATTCCGGATTTGTTAAAACATATTTTAATATCATTTACTTGTTAATGTATTATATATACATACCTTCAAAACAAAGTAATTCATCAAGGTATTTGCTATCGTTTTCTGGGACATTACTTTTTTTGCAAAATTACGTAAATATTTTAAGAAATATGTATTCCAAAAAAGTCTACGCTAATATTCTCTATTCTTGTAACATACTTGCTTTTCTTATATTATTTTGTATATTATTAAATCTTGTAAAATGTAAAGTTTTAAAGCCAAACGTCAATCAAAATATTTAATTATAAAATACTTTTGAATAGAAAAGCAATAGCATATTGCAGCAAGGAATGAGTATTCCTTTCTAGTTGAACACTATAACACGGTTCTAACAATTTTTAATTATTTTCTATAATTTATATAATTCAAATGACAGCTGTGTTCTAGATAATTATTTAATGTATGACATTTCATAGCCCTCACGATATTATTAAAATAATTAAGAAATGACTTTGTGTTATCAGATAAGAATCTGATACGGAAATTATTAATTTAATTTGTTTTAGGATTACACATTTCTTGTACAAGATTTGATATAATTTCTGGTACAAGATTTGATACAATTTAAATTGTTTAGTATCATACAGTAAATTGTTTGAAAAATAAGATTGTATGAGATATTGTCTGGAAAATTAGAACGTTTTCAAACAATTTCTAGACTCAGGGCCTGTGCATTTGAGATACACGTAACCAAAATAATCTTAATTGTTTATAGTATTTAGTGCCAGTATCAATGTTTATTTAATGATTTTATCTTGCCGAAAGTGTGTATTTTGCTTTTTAATGATACCTCTAATTAAATCAAGAAGTTAATGAAAACATTGATTGTTTTTCTTGTATGTTTGGGGCTTCGTTTTTTTATGATTCGCCTGTCGATGATTTTTTTCGCGATATATGCTGATAAATTAGTAATCCATTCTATATAGGGCTGTTCCTAAAGTGGCGCTGGAAAACAACCAACCTACTAGGCTAATAACCGTTAAGGTTTTCAACACGGGTTCTACCGTTTTCTCATTTTTATACTTTGAGTACTTGGTAGTGATAGAGAAGATGCCATTAAGTTTTGATATTAATTCGCAAAACCTTGCTCTAGCTATTTGTCCAATGCCTTTTATAGTATTGTAACGTTTATTTTTTAATTTATATTTACAAAGTCACTAATTTATTTATACTCAATACTATACTAATTTATATCTCAAATACTTATATAATAATATTAATCTGCTCACAGTGATATCTCAACTTAAAACTCTTTCATAAAGACAAAGTTGGGATATTTTTATAAAAATATGGCACTCCAGACCTGTTCTCTAAAATTCTAGACGCCCTTCCTCTAAGAATCGACATCTGCATCAGACATATCTGTTATTTTCTCGAATTTCACGTAGTAGACTGAACGGCTTCCTCGACTGTCGATAACGAAACATAGGCGGATCAAGGGGGGTTTCGGAGGTGACTTGTTTAATCGAATATTCTTGGTGACGGGAAAACTGAAGGCCGTAAAAGGCCCAAATAAGGCAAAAATAGATCGGATTGATCGAAATGTCTCGTATAACAGTATAATTCATAAAACATTTCAAAACCATATGTGCCTTGTTTCAAATATTGCACAAGACATTGTGTATAGTCTAAAAGTCTTTGGAATTATTAAATAAGTTTAGAAAGTGTAAAACTCAACAGACTAAACAATTTCTTATATCGTCGGCTTACTTTCAAAACCTCCTAAGTCCGTTTTTTACTGTTTACGAAGTTTTGATACAAAGAGATTTAAAATATTATTATTTAACATCCTGCAAAATCTTCTAAGTTTTAATTTGATTGTAGCAACATCCATTGGACGAAATTGAAACCTGCTAAGTCGTTGCAGGATGTTAAATAATGTTTTAAATCTGTATCAAAACCTCGTAAACAGTAAAAACGGACTTAGGAAAGTAAGCCAACGATATGCAGACTTGAAGGTTCCTAAATTTACTAATTGAAAGAGAGTCCAAAATAAAATATTAAATTATATTTTTCTTGCAGATCATTTGGTAGCCAAGGGTCGAATGTCGGAACCAGAAGCCAAAAGGATATTCAACCAGATTGTATCTGCCGTAAGCTATTGCCACTCTCAGGGGGTAGTTCATAGAGATTTAAAGGCTGAAAATTTACTCTTAGATCATAACCTTAATATCAAAGTAAGTATGAAATATGTTGTTTAAAAATCGATACCATTTTATTGTAGTATTTGAAATTTTTATAATAAATCTTTTTCCGAATAATTTTTAAGCCGTTGATCTTTCATAGAAAAAATTTCCCATCATTTATCTAGTCTTCTTCCACATGCTAATAAATATAATTAAATGAATAATTCTAATAAAAGTGGCTACCTAGTTTATGAATGAATTTATTTTACTTTAACTATTACTTATGCAGCATGATTGTTAAACATACCATAAGAATTTGAATGATAATGAAAGTTAAGAATGAGTCCTAAACTATTCTTGATCATGATCAGATAACATTTAAAAATCTAAAATATCTTAATCTTAATTTATATGATGATTATACATCACCAGTTATGAAGTCATAGTTCTCTTCATATTGTATTTAAATTTATGTACATAAAATATATAGGGCGATTCTGGTTGTTGCATAGGAGTTCTTGTAAAGATGTTAATCTGTAATGCAATTTATATTTCATTACACCATCGAAAAATATTAGACTTTTTATTTATTTATAAAATAATAACTATTCAATTAACCTTTTGATTGTGAATAATAAAGAGACTGTGATCTTTTTTTTTTATTAATTCATTTAACGTCGGCCTATTACTAACTACGCTATTTAAACACCGACGCTGGTGAGCACGCTACCCCTAATTACAAGACATTTAGCCAAATCCCCTGGTGTTTCAACCAGAAGTAGGGATCTTTAACGAGATCAACATTCATGGACTCGGGATCGACGGCTTTACATCTCCGAAAAGATGGCACACCCCACGTTATACCTCGAACTCATTGATATAACGCCTGTCCGCTGTGGCATGCTACTAAGCGAGCAGTTTGTTCGGACGTACGCCGATTATCATTGAAATGGTCATCCATTTAACTACTAACTGTGCTGGGCCTGCCTTGACCTGCAGTCAAGCCAGGCCCTGCAGTATCGATACATTGTAATGTAAGATAACCTGCCGGGCCGCTGTCTAGACTGGATAATAGTAGTTTGTGAAGAGTATTATGCATTTAGTTCCGTCCGATGTCACGGTTTTTTGTCCGCACGATAAGTTAAAAAGGAAAAACGATATCAACTTTAAATTCTTAGCAAAAATCAAGCTCTATAAGGGGACAAAGCCGACTGATTTTGTAAAAAAATCTAATTAAAAATCTGATGTGTCCAACACATGACTTTCCTATCTAGTTATTACAGGCTTTTTCCGGTTATTTTGTACAACCTATTGCAGCATCTCTATAAATGTTTAGAGGATAAACTAAATATATACATTGTCCACATGCATCTACCGCGAAACATTTTTCTATAGATATTCATTGAAAATGAAAATACTGAAAAATTTAAATTTAGCACTTTTCCTACAATTTTTCCATTACGGTCCATTTTAAAAAAATCATGTATAAACAAATATTATAGAGATCGATATCGCAAACAACTTTTATTTCAACAATTTTCATAAAAATCAGAATTTTGCACATTTTGTCAAATTTTTCGAATACGGACCATTTCAGGAAATTTTTACAAAAAGCAAAAATTATAGATAATAATATTAGAAGTAACTTTTATTTGAACAATTTTTTTCTCCAAACATAAATAACAGATATATTCCATAAAATACAAAAACGGCCTCCCATAAAGTACCCCCCCAGATGTTCCGACTTTGTCCAAAATCTAATCATTTCACGTCAGGCCGAAATAAAACTTAAGTTTAAAATTTAATGTTTTTTTCTTTATTCGTTTTTGAGTTTTCTTCAAATTTCGAAATTTACACATTTTCTCAAATATCTTGAATACAATCCATTTTAGAGAAATTATCTATAGGATAAAAATTATAGAGAATTATATTACAAACAACTTTTGTTTGAACAATTTTTATAAAAAAAAATATTTTTTTACATTTTGTCAAATTTCGCGAATACGAACCATTTTAGGAAAATTTTGTATATAACAAAAATTATAGATAATAAAATAAGAAGTAACTTTCATTTGAAGAATTTTCTTCCCCAAACGTAAATAACAGATATATTCCATAAAATATAAAAATGGCCACCTATAAAGTACCCCCCCAGATGTTCCGACTCTGCCCAAAATCTAATCAGCTCATTAGACGCTGGAACAAAGCTTAAGTTTGAAATTTGGGGTTTTTCCGTGTATCGGTTCATGAGTTATGCGTTATACAGACACACACAGACACACACAGACACACACAGACACACACACACACACACACACACACACACACACACACACACACACACACACACACACACACACACACACACACACACACACACACACACACACACACACACACACACACACACACACACACACACACACACACACACACACACACACACACACACACACACACACACACACACACACACACACACACACACACACACACACACACACACACACACACACACACACACACACACACACACACACACACACACACACACACACACACACACACACACACACACACACACACACACACACACACACACACACACACACACACACACACACACACACACACACACACACACACACACACACACACACACACACACACACACACACACACACACACACACACACACACACACACACACACACACACACACACACACACACACACACACACACACACACACACACACACACACACACACACACACACACACACACACACACACACACACACACACACACACACACACACACACACACACACACACACACACACACACACACACACACACACACACACACACACACACACACACACACACACACACACACACACACACACACACACACACACACACACACACACACACACACACACACACACACACACACACACACACACACACACACACACACACACACACACACACACACACACACACACACACACACACACACACACACACACACACACACACACACACACACACACACACACACACACACACACACACACACACACACACACACACACACACACACACACACACACACACACACACACACACACACACACACACACACACACACACACACACACACACACACACACACACACACACACACACACACACACACACACACACACACACACACACACACACACACACACACACACACACACACACACACACACACACACACACACACACACACACACACACACACACACACACACACACACACACACACACACACACACACACACACACACACACACACACACACACACACACACACACACACACACACACACACACACACACACACACACACACACACACACACACACACACACACACACACACACACACACACACACACACACACACACACACACACACACACACACACACACACACACACACACACACACACACACACACACACACACACACACACACACACACACACACACACACACACACACACACACACACACACACACACACACACACACACACACACACACACACACACACACACACACACACACACACACACACACACACACACACACACACACACACAGACATCATCGCGAAAATAGTCAAAACGGATTCAGGGGACCTCAAAACGTAAAAATCCGTCGAAAACTCGAGGTCGAAAAAAATCATGATTCCTATACTTTCCTTATATCTGTATACAGATAGGAAAGTAAAAATGGAGGGATTAAAGGGGGTGGATTTAAAAAAAAAATTCAAAAATGAAAAGCCAAATCAACATGAAATTGTTATTAAAAATTATTAAATTAAGAAAATGAAGCCTTATTGATTCTGAAGGAAGACAAAAATCTGAATAAATTGAAGGGTTAGGGGGTTTAAGATATTTCTAATAATCTTAACTCAAAATCGAAAAATGATATCAATTTAAAATTTTTAACAAAAATCAAGCTCTATAATAATAATAATAATAATAATAATAAAAAAATTATTTACATTAATATCAACAACAATTTAAGCATTTTTACAATAAAAGAAATGCGAAAAACAAAGTACAAAGAAGAATTTAAAAAAAAGATATAAATAAACAGAGAACTTGATAAGTGAGTAATCACTTGTTTAAAGACATAGACTAAATACTAAATACATACACAAGAAATATATATATATAGGTTAAAGAAAATAGAAATATATACATATAGAAGAAAAATCTGATTATAAATAGGGGGTTTAAGTGGGGTTAAAATTAAAGAAAAATTATAAATCAAAAACGAACAAGCTCTATAAGAAAATGAAGCCTATTGATTCTGAAAAAAATTTAAATAAAAATGGGGGGTTAAAAAAATCCAACTTAAAAACGAACACTAATATCAACTTGGAATTATTGGCAAAAATCAAGCTCTAGAAGGGGACAAAGCCTATTGTTTTAAAAAAATTGAACAAAATAGCGGTAAAGGGGGGGGGGGGTGAAATTAAAAAAAAAATAGAAATCAAAAACCAAAAGCAATATCAACATGAAATGTTTAGTAAAAATCCAGCTCTATAAGGGAATGAATAAATAAAAATAAAAAGTTGAAATATAAAAAAAAATCAGAATCAAAAAACGATATCAAATTGAAATCTTCAGGAAAAATTAAGCTTTTGATACTGAAAAAATCTGATTAAAAATGGGGTTAAGGGGGTACACACTGAAGAGTATAATATAGAATGCCAAGCCATATACCTTCATCTTCATTGTAGTGATTTATTTTAACATCTCTTAAAAATTATATTTATATATGCATTTTTTTTTCTTTGTTGAATTTAAATAACTGAACAAATTCAGTATTTCTTAATTTTCTTGCCTCGATGACTAATATCCCTTAAAATAGAGTTTCCATCAGTGTATCCATCATTAAAATATTAAAATAATTGATAAAATATGTAAGCGTATCGGGAAAGCAATTAAAAATAAAATTGTTGTATAAATTAAACAAAATTT